CCACTAGTAGCGAAAAGCGCGGGCATTTTGGCAGCAAAAAAGGATTAAAGTCTAGCTTTAACTAGATAAACTTTTTTTATTCTCGATATTTTTGACCAACTAGGTGGATTTTACTAAAACAATTATTCTTCTCGCCCTCATGGCCTCTGAGTTAATAGCCCATTCAGGCTCAAGGAATAAAAACAGCCTATGACTATTTTTTATTCAGATGTGGAGCCTCTATCAAAATATTTTCCTGTACCATTACACCTTTCTCCTGCTACTAGAATTCTTAATGAAAACCCTGTAAAGAGGCAGGAGTAGGTTTCTACTCAAGCAGGGGAAAATTGTGATTTTCATCCCACTTTCCAACATATTAGACCACGATATTGTGTAGCCAAATGTATCCCTATTATGAGGCTCTAGTTGATTTCAAAAGCTATTTTCAGTCCCTTTTTCTTTTTGAATGGACTAGAATGAACAAACAAGGACACTCTTACAGCAGCCTTCAGTCTCGCTTGCTTGGAGATTAGATCGAGAAATGAGGTGATTAATTCTTAACCAAACAAGATTTACTCACTTAAGGTTTTTTACTTCCTACTTTATCGATGTCAAGTATTCTTCAGGATATTTACTTTTCATTTGTTGCTGAACTGATTTTAGCACACGTGTTAGTGACAAATGGAAATTCGTCTGCAACCCTCCAAGTTAAAGTTTTTGCTTGGCCGCCATTTGGTGACCAATTCTTTTGGTTTAGCAAGACTTTTTACAAATCAAGTCACCAGCTTTTAAATCTTAGGCACCATGGCAACTAAAATGGTTGCAACTTGAAGGGTTGGTCTGTGGGCACAGCCTATACGTACACGTGTACGTGTATAAATACACGAAAATTCAAGGGCCTCAATTCCAGATAAATTACATTGACAAAAATCAAAAAAGTGATTTACATAGCACTTCATTTCAATCATCGCCGAAAATAAAGCGTATGCTCATCACAAGATTCATTTGTAAACAATGAAAGTTTACAACACCCAACCGAGAGAGACTAATTAGCTCAAATTGCAAGATTACGCTAGCTACTATTATTGTACTGAGGTAAGAAAAATTGAGGTAAAGCATACCAGTCAAAGATACCAAGTTTTATTTAACATTTTAAGTAACGTTATAAATCTGCAAGTACAATACACTCGCAAATTTGATAACCTTGAGTTTTGCAGTTATTCGCGGGCTGAATGTGAGCACGTCGCAGTTTTCAAAACCAACTACACCAAGAGAAAATGAATACTTACATGATGATGTAGCAAATTATAGTTAGCTGAACCAGTCGGTTGATGATCCCAATTGTCTTGCTTTGAATATGAACCACTTTGCTCGTGTTATACTCAAACAACGCGGAAGAAACTGCCTTGCAAAAACCGCCTGCCATCTTGCTTCCCCCGGAAGAAGAACAGTGATTGTTCTGGCTTGGTTACAAAGCTAGTTGTCCTTTTGGCCAGAGTTCAAAAAGAGGCGTCATAAAAATTCTGGGACTTATCAGGATATTCTGAAAGAACAGCGTCCATGATCCAAAGGGCCGACTTGCCAAAAATGAGCATTTCGGGGCAAATTGTCTTTGAGATATTGGCCCAGTTATCACCTGGTTATGCTCTGATAACTCCATACAAACCCTTCGAAATATTTTGGGGGTCGACCCCCCAAAAAATTTACAGACCGAATACGCACAAATTATGTTCCAGGCTCTCAGATAGTGGGGAAGACTAAAAATAGAACGTGATGAAGACTGCGCCTTGAGTATTTGCTGAAGTCGAAAATGAAATGTGTTATTTCATGTGTAGTTGCTTGCCAAATATCATCGTCATGTTCAGAATTGTTCACTTCAAGATTATTGATTGTTGTCGATTACTAACGATTGTTATCGATTTCTATAGATTTCCGATATCAATCGACGGATTAAATAGATTGATATAGACATAGTTAGTATGATATAGATGATATCGATTGATTTCCGATATCGATTTCTATCGATTACGTCTGGATTGTTTGTCAATAAACCCCCTGTTCTTCTTCACAAACACAGAAGCTCCTAAGGTTTCCTCTTTCTACAGTCAACTCGGTCGTAAGCGACCACCTTAATTTGGCGCACTACAAAGTGGTCGCTTACGGGAGGTGGTCGTCTACGGGAAAAATAAAGAAAATAAACTTAAATTGAACTGAAAGTTATAACCTGACAAGCTAAGACTGGCAGACATCGAATAGCGCTTAGAACTGTTTAAATCATTATCAGCAGCTGGCCAAATTAACTTTGTACAGGACATTTGGCAACAATCCAATTTTTTTACCTACAGATCGTATAACAGCCATCTTCACTTGTCATAATCCGTCAGCACGCTTGGTCATCAGCGCTAGCTTGCATGACAGGCGCTTTATGAACAAAGCCAGGCAAACGCAGAAAAGCGCGAAAAAGAGGGGGGAGAAAAAATTAAAGCTCCTCGCTTGGCTCATAAAGCGCCTGTTATGCAGGCTAGGTTAGCGCTTTTAAAAGCTAAACTTTTGTGACATTAGAACCAAGGTTTTCTTAAAATAATACGCGATCATGCCGGGTCGTCGCTAACAAAGAAACAGGAAAACAAAAGCGCTGAATATGTCTAGTTTCTGGTCTAAAAAGTGGTCGCGGTCGTTTAATAAATTTAAGTAGTGGTCGCTTACGAGAGAGGTTTTTTAAACACTATTTGACTCAAAAACAAAACAGTTATTAAGAAAGTGGTCGCTTACTGGAGGTCAGGGTCGCTCACCTGGTCGCTCACTAGCCTGTGCCAGGCTCTCAGATAGTATAGTGGGAATGTATTAAAACGAGCAAAGCGAAAATAAGACGCGCACGACTTGTCTCTCCCCAGCCCCGGCGTGTTTTTCGCATTTCTTATTATTGAGCAACTTTCCACCACCATCTCGGAGCCTGGAACAGGCTAGTCGCTCACGAACCATTGGTCGCGCGACCAAAGCTGCGGCCGCGCGATGTAGCGGTTGCGCGATTCTCTCCTCCGCAGCGGCTCCCGCTGGGTATCCCAATAAAAATAGCAATACATGTTCCCCCGCGCGCTTTCTTTTCCCCTCCCTCCGGCCCCCGCTTCCTACGATACTAGGCTGAAGTAGAACGGGAACATCAGTTGACGACGGCGCGCGCAAATCAAACAACTGGCTAGACCAATCGCAGAGCGGCAAATTGGGCACCGGAAGTAGCATTTAGTCCTTTCCCGTGCGCTTTCCCGTCGTCAACTGACGTTCCCGTTCTGATGCTAAATCAGCCTACTAAGAGGCCTCTGCGGAGGAGGAAGGTGGCGCGACAAATGTAGCGGTCTCTTACCGGTCGCCACTAGAAGAGAGAGTGACTGTACAGCGCTGTAAGAGCTAATTCACAATTAAATTTTGTTTTTCTTTATTCCCTATTTTTACATTATTGTCTCATTAATATTCATATTCTCGATTATCCGGGCTCTCGACAGTATCCGGATTATTTACTCAAGTCCCAACGAGTCCGGATAATCGAGTTTCGACTGTAGAGGGATTGTATTACTGACCAATCCTTTAAGTCACCGCTAGATTTTTCTACGGAGGAGATCTACACATTTGTTTAAAAATTGAGTTGGATCCATGGTGAGTTGTTTATTCCACAGAATGAGTGACTTTCAAGCATATGACCCCACGCCAGACAGGTGGAAAAAGAACCAGACAGGTGATCTCTCTCTCCTCTACATACGCAGAAGAGCTCTGGGTGGAGATTGCAGACAGGTGGAAATAGGGAACCATGCGCGCGCATTAATGTTCTACATGAAGATTGACGACGATGCTGGAATCTCATTGGTTTGTATCTTAGCGCGCGCTTTTGTTGCCATTGTTAAGTCACAAAGCGAAACTTCTCATTCGGAAAGAGAATTTTACAAGATTAGACGTGTTTTTAAAGCTCCTAAGTTTTTGAGAGAAAAAAGCGCTTGAACGTAAAAATGGGACAAGTTTACAGCTCCTATAAGATGAAGAAAAGAGAAAAAGCTGATCGCAAAAAGTAAGAGTTTGCGTTTTTGTAATCTGCTCAAGATTATTTGCCAAACTCAAAAATCTTTTTTCAAGATGAGGAATGACCTGTTCATTTTTTGGCATGTTTGGTTTTTTCATTCTTTTACTCTTCAGGCGTTTGCGAGAGTNCTTTGAAACCGATTTTTGGGAAGATTTTACAAGATGAAGATTGACCTTTTTTCTGCCCACATATCAACGCAATAACTTCTACATTGAGGATTTTGTTTATATTTTAGTGATCTGCGAAACTAAGAGTGTCCGATCGAGCGAGGGTTTTGAAATATCAGCTCGAGTGCGACAAAGTTCAGTGACTTCAAACACATTGTGGGCAAGCGTTAATTTTTTTGGGCAAATCACTGTCCAAAGATATGTTGTTTTTGTGTCCACAGTGGAGCTCCGGACCTTATATATCCAGGAACTTCCTTATATGAACACATTTTGTGAATGCATCTTGAAAAAAATCCGACCTACGCATGCACATTTAAAGTACAACGCAAGGAAATAAATGTCGTTAAAGTCCGTTTTACTATGAGGTATTCTTCGAGAAAATTAAGTAACTACAAGGTTATAACCACAGCTTGCAACTTTTGAAGACAAATTGCCTGTTCTTTCCAGGTTATGAGTGGAAACATTTTATTTTTGGGCAATAAAATATTTGAAATCCCGCCATTTTTTCAAGCCCGGCCAGGGGATCTGGGCAAAAAAGTTCACGCATGCTCATTACGTTTTTCCGCCCTGAAGGTGGAAATAGGGAACCATGCGCGCGCATTAATGTTCTACATGAAGATTGACGACGATGCTGGAATCTCATTGGTTTGTATCTTAGCGCGCGCTTTTGTTGCCATTGTTAAGTCACAAAGCGAAACTTCTCATTCGGAAAGAGAATTTTACAAGATTAGACGTGTTTTTAAAGCTCCTAAGTTTTTGAGAGAAAAAAGCGCTTGAACGTAAAAATGGGACAAGTTTACAGCTCCTATAAGATGAAGAAAAGAGAAAAAGCTGATCGCAAAAAGTAAGAGTTTGCGTTTTTGTAATCTGCTCAAGATTATTTGCCAAACTCAAAAATCTTTTTTCAAGATGAGGAATGACCTGTTCATTTTTTGGCATGTTTGGTTTTTTCATGCTTTTACTCTTCAGGCGTTTGCGAGAGTTTTTCCTTTAAATCCAAACCGAGAGGAAATCGCAATTTTTCTTTCTTAAATTTGCTCGCTTTTGGTCCCGTTTTTATTTTGTGCGTTAATTTCTGATCATCCTTTGAGAACCAAGGAGGAACTTATCCAGACGGGAAATGCTTTGCCTATTTTTTTGATTATAGAGGCCATCTGGCAGTTACGCGAGGTACATCTACGGCCTGGTTCCCATAACGGACGATTCTGATTGGTGAAGTGAACTGCATTCTCTAAGAGAGTATCGGATTAATAATAATTGCTAACTGGGGCTATGAAGCTTAGCTCACGTTGGCAATAGGTACTGAAAAGAATTACTCAGTCAACAACAATGCCCTTATTTTAAACTGCATAGATTTTCTGTTCTATTTCTCAGGTGGCAAAGAGAGCAGTTAAAGAAAGCAGCAGAATGTATTGTTCGTCTTCAGGAAGAACAACAGCGTTTAACTGAGTACGTTGACTAAAGTCGCCTAAAATGACATGTTACCAGCCAGCAGAATTTAAATGTCTCATATTTTAACTAGAAACTAATTAGGCAGACGTCGGACAGTTTCAAACAAAGAACTGGATAAAGGGGTGGGGGTAGAGATGTAGGGCCGTGGAAAAGGATGAAATAATTCAATTTAAGTCGTCTTCTCCACTCTGTATTCTTTACCTGCGACCCCTTTAAGGTGAGATCACGGTAACGCCCAGTGTTTTTCCTTATTTTCTAGAATACTCGAAGAGCATTATGTGTATCAGCCGGACTTACGTCTAGAGCCTAGAGATGGCAAAGAATGCAAAACTATCGAAATGACGGAAGAAGTTGAAGCTTTGGAGAGAAAACTTTTCCTTGAAGAAACTGCACTCGATGTTACAGACGAGAGATGCAACTTTCTGGACAGAAATCTAAGGTAAGGATATGTACGTCAAGAAAACTTTAGTATCGCTCCGGGCTCTCTCAGATGTCCGTTTCTATTAGGCCCTATTGATAGTTCGTTACCTGTCCATAGGTTTGGAGAGACCTTTGGGTACTTTTGCCGCGAAATACTTGTTGAATGTCAGATTTTATTAGGAACCGTTCATTTTTTATGGGGTAGGGGGGGCTGGTGGGATTTGGAGGAGTGTAATTTGAAAAATGTATGACCCCCCCCCCCCAATTTCCGATTTTTTTCGCATGCCCCCCCCCCCTCATCAGAGTAATTTTTTGGAAGGCACCCCCCCGCCCGATGAATAAAAAAATACATAAGGTATTAAAAAAGTTACTGCATTAAAATTTCGTTTTGTTACATTTCACGTAATTTAGTGAAAGAAAGCTGAAAGCTAGAAAGCTGTTTTTAACAAATCCTCACTCAAAAGAATGAAAAGTCAATTTCAGCTCTTCTTGTTACTGCTCGTCCTGAGCGTGTTGTAGCTGGCCGCTCGTCTACATATTCCTCGTCTGAGGTGATAAAAGCAAGAACGACATCATTTGAGTCGTCTTCAAAGTCAGGGGCATCACTCTTGTAATCATCATCAGTTTCTTCTCCCTCACTGCTTTCACCACTGCTGTCTAGTTGACCTGATTCATTGCTGCCTCTCACTTCGGCTTGACCTGTTCTGAGAGTATTCATCTGCAGGAAGTGTCCCATAATTGTCTTCACTTTGTCATTCTTGCTGCTCTTCTGATGCTGTTTTAATAGCCCATGATGTTGTAAGTATTTGTTCAATTCTGGCACTCGGAGCTTTTTTAGCTTGGCGGCATCTTCGCACAAAGTAGCCCAATGATAATCATCATAGGACTTTTCTCTTGCCTCCCTACTTTCCCTTGCCCTTTCCGCCAGTCTCTTCTTTTTTTTAAACTCTATGACCTCAAGATGCTGGAGATAGTCAACCACAAACTTTGGTTTCACAATGAATTTGTCTCCAAATCTAGCTACGCTCTCTGGGTCAGACAAAACTACGCTACCACTGGCATGTGCCTTTTTCAACTGGACTCTTGGTTGCCAATCGTCTGGATCACGCCCCTCATTTGGGGTCTACTGATAAGGAAGGTGGTGGTACTGTGGAAGGCAAGCATGATCAGGAAATAGTTTCGGGCATCTCCCTATAGGTGGTCCAGTCCATTCAAAACAAAAAGAACAGACTTGTCCTACCTTTACTCCACAAGAAAACTTCAGAAACTCCCTGTAGTTCTCACCCTCCTCATAATGTTCGTTAATAAACTTCTCTATTTTCAGGAAGTAACTATGGCCTGGAACAGAGTCTTTCCTAGCTCCTGCATTGTGGAACTGTACCAGGTACGATGTGTTGTGAAAAAATTGATAATCTATGGAAACCAAAGAAAAGATAATTTTAAGCATGTATAGTAATATTAAATTATTTAAAGACAGTTTTCATAAACACATAAATATCCATTCAATCGAACATTTTTTTATGCTTTCACTTTCATGTTGTGCAGTAAATCTTGCAGATTACTATGTAGATCTAGAAGTTTTAAATCTTTCAAATGTTGCCAATTAATGAGATTTCAAAAATCAGGAATCTGTAGTATACCCTATTTACATATGTACATTCTGTTTACTGGGTTACCTGGTCTGGGTGTCACATGGGCTGAAATGTATCCGTGAGGTCCTGGTGCTTCGTCACCACGATCACACACCTCTTGAAAACGCAAACGGTTTGAAAACAACATCCTACGCGTGTATCATATCTGCGTTACAAATCCCCTTTCAAAAGAGCTTCCCAATTGTCTTCTTTATCCTCCCTCCATGACAATTCCGGAAGCGTGCATAAACGTTGAAGATGTAGCAGCATTGTTGCTAACACGGGATGCAGCATTCATCGCTCACCTACTGCAATCAAGCTACTTCAGCAACGCGGCACAAAGCAGGCTTATTACCAACCTTAAGCCAGAAGTAAGAAACAGGATGTATTGCTTCCTGTATCCTGAAGATTATAGCTCAAACGTCGGAGACACGAACAAAGAGGAAGAAGAAAACGACGAAGAAGAGGAAGACAACGAAGAAGAACAGGAGGAAGAAGAAGAGCTAAGAAGAGGAACACAGCGACGACGAGATCGAAGAGAACGTCGAAAATGAGGAAGGGGACACCTCGTAGTAGTTTCATGCCCCTCCCATTAAATTTCTCAGAGAAAAGCTCTGGTAACGAGGTCAGTTCCAATTCAGGACTCAAATTATTGGTTTTAATTATATGAGCTTGACAACAACATTTTTATGAATGAAAAGAAAGTTGTTGCTATTCAAGACTGTTATTATGGTATGTTCATTGTCCTTATAAAATATAAAAGCTGTTGAGAAGTTTTCTTGTTACCCTGGAACTGTTTTAGCATATTTGTTATAAATAAAAGAGCAAAATTTTTCTTCGATTTGTAAACATCTCTTATCCTATTTTTAATCTGATTTTTTCGTCCGACCCCCCACCCTTTCCTTCATTTTTTTTCGGCTGGCCCCCCCTTTCAAGCCAATTTTTTTCGAGTGGCCCCCCCCCCCAAATCCCACCAGCCCCCCCTCTCTCATAAAAAATGAACGGTCCCTTATATGGCTGAATCCGCGAGCGGGCAAGATGTAGTGTATCCCGCGTTCTGATTGGCTACCCAAGCGAGCAAGATATGGGCCCATCTTGCCGGCTCGGGATTTCCCGCGTTGGTCCCGCAAGAAAATCTTTTCTTTTTGGCCATTTAATAAATCCTTTATTGACCAAGCTTGTTTGGTCAATATGGCTGTATATTGGCCTTGTTCTTTTTTGCATTTTTATTGACCTCTCGTCTGGTCCATAAAAACGTAAAAAGGAAAAATCCAGCCGTCTTGACCGACTAGCTTGGTCAAGAACGCATATAAACGTTCAGAGTCGCGATCGAATTTCAGGATTTATCCTGGGCTTTGGAAAATTTGCAAATAAAAAAAGCGTGCAAACCAAAAAAGGTAAAGTTTTTCACTGCTGACACTTTCATCTAGGGAAGGTTCTAAATACCTAATCAGCCGGGTCTCCTTTATCTTACAATGGGTGTCTGACCGCCCTCTTGCCAAAATTTCAAAATGGTCCCTTTTCATGTTATCACCACTTGAGATGACATGGCTGGCAATAGCAGATGAGTGGTTGCTACATGTAATGGATTTGATGGAATATAAATTCTACTGAAAAGACTGATCGAGAATCCACTACCTGGAAATCCGAAATCTACAGAGTGGAATCCAGAATCCTAGACTGTCTTGGATCAACCTCGTTCCCAAGGTTCTGTCCAGGAGAGAGAACCTGGGAACGAGGTTGGTGTTGGATTACCCAGAAGTCGTCACGTCACGTTGCCATAGTAGCAAAATTTTTGGATGATAACAAACCGATAAAGTCACTTAAAAGTCTATTCGCACTATTTCAAACTTCACCGATCTTATTCAATTTCATTTAATTTGGTAAATCTTGGCGAAATTTTCTTTGGAACCGTATCTATCGTTATCTAAGTTTAAAAAAGGAAAGCGACAATTTTTGTGCTTTGTTCACCTATTCCATAAAGCGGGCTCGAGAAATGAGGAAGTTTCATGTCGTAGTATTTTTTGCCGTTCTCCTTGCCGTCGCGGTCGTCGTCGGTTTTGTTTTCATCCAGAAATAGTGCTACCATGGTAACGTGACGTCACACTTTTCCTCTCTAATTGCCTCTTGCATAATTTGAAAGGTGCCCCAGGTCCCGGGGAAAAGTACTTAGTTAACCTATTTGTATTTTGTTCCTTTGCAGTCTTCTTCAACAAAACCAACTTGATCTTGAATATGAGCGACCAAGCCGTCAGAAAAACCTGGCTGCATTAAGAATTAAACACGAGGCTTGTCAGTTTAACCTGTATCAGAAGGCAAACCCGATTGAACAATGGACTGTCAAATCGCTCCCAAACCTGTGGTTTACTTCCTTCTAAATTTTAATTTGTATGCGGATAAACTTAAACTCCCATATCACGCATTGAGCACGTGCACGCATTGAGCACGTGCCTTTAACCCAAATGTATCATAATATATAGCGTTAGATTTTATCAGTCATCTCTGTTTGTGTACGTAGCTGTATTGCATATAATTGATGTAAATACATGTAAATGTTGAGACAGTACATGGAACATTAGCCACGAGTATATGCCTGTTTTATTTTAATAGATCTCGTAGAAACTGAAAGAGCGCCCCCCCCCCTCCCCGCCGCAGTAGCCTCCCGAACCTTAAGAACGTCTGCGTGGGAGGCTACCACCGCACCTCACATTCTTGGGGGTGCGTCACGCGTTCCTGCCCCGTGGGTACTTTTTTCGTCAGCAATTTTACATCTGAAGCTGCTTAACCCAAAGCCGAATAAGTGTCTGATAGTTTTCAGCATTTTCAATAATGAACTCATTATATTCGTGTTCCCAAAAAGGTTCGGCTTGTTATGTGTGCGCCTCATAGTTTCTCTCCCTAATATGACGTGAAACCGTAGACTTTCGAAAAATCATTCGCGAAAGCGAAGGTTACACCCAGGAAGTGACAAGGTTTGCCTATCTGACCGTCACGTGCGCCTGCATTTTCAGTCGCCTCTCTCCCTCTCCCCCCCCTCTCCCCTTAACCCCTTCAATGAAATATTTTTAAACAGCAGTGTATACTGAAAGCTCTCCACTCGGGGGTGAGAGGTGAGGAACGAAAAGGGAATAAAGATACAGTGAAACCTGTATTAAGCGGACCACCTCGGGGAATGCTGTAGAGTCCGCTTAATACAGGGTGTCCGCCTAATACAGGTTTCGATAGATAACGTCATATGAGGTGTCAAATGCGTGGAAATGTTTAGAATACTCCCAGAGACCATGACGATATACGTTTGCATTAATTTCTTTATTAAAGGGGACCATTTGATCATAGTACCATAAACATAGATTGCAACTCAAATTTGAAGACATCAGGTGAGTAAAACAAGCTCTATACAAACAAAACGAGATAGAAAACAATCGTACTGTGAAAGTAATCNCGAAAAGGGAATAAAGATACAGTGAAACCTGTATTAAGCGGACCACCTCGGGGAATGCTGTAGAGTCCGCTTAATACAGGGTGTCCGCCTAATACAGGTTTCGATAGATAACGTCATATGAGGTGTCAAATGCGTGGAAATGTTTAGAATACTCCCAGAGACCATGACGATATACGTTTGCATTAATTTCTTTATTAAAGGGGACCATTTGATCATAGTACCATAAACATAGATTGCAACTCAAATTTGAAGACATCAGGTGAGTAAAACAAGCTCTATACAAACAAAACGAGATAGAAAACAATCGTACTGTGAAAGTAATCAAATAAGTTTGCCAAGTCAAGTTTTTTAACGTAAAAATCGAAAATTTGTGGGTGGCCATCTTTCGCATTTCCGGTGTCTTGCATGTTACAAGTGTCTAAAATACTAGCCTCCCACGCAGGCGTTCTTAGGAGTTCGTCACGCGTTCCTGCCCCACGAACGTTCGTGGGGCAGGAACGCGTGACGAACCCCTAAGAACGTCTGCGTGGGAGGCTAGTTTAATACAGGTTGGCAATAGAAAAGACCATTTCAGGTCCGCGTCCGCTTATCACAGTAGAGGTGTCCGCTTAATAAAGGTTTCATTTAAAGAAAGTAAGGGAAATAAATTTGGGGACTTCGGCTACTGTCCGCTTAATAGAAGGTGTCCGCTTAATACAGGTTTCACTGTATGTCTATGATGTCCCGGAAAACTCTCGACTCGGTTGGGGTGGGATAGGGGTGGTTAAGGAAAAGAGAGTGAAGATACGTATATCACGTATATACTGTAGTCATATCCGTTAAGGTCTCTAAGTTGAGGTGGAGCGGTGGGGAAGGAATATGGATTGAAGACTATTAATCTTATTTACTCAATTCAATTACACAGATAATCAAAATAGTACATCTAAAAAAGATACGACAAAAATGACACAGGTCCGCATAAAGCTTTCGACTTGGGAGGGAGGGGTGGGGGTGAGGAAGGAAACCGCGGAAGTAAAGAGCTTGCTCATGCTCCAAAACTAGTTTTTGGAGGACAAATTTAATAAAAACACGTACAGGAGACATTTTCTTTTACTCCATTGCTACCTTTGTGGCTGTAGTTTAATGTAAAAAGAGGACATTTAGTGCAGATTTGAATCAAACACAAAGAAGCGTGTTTCAACAGGATTTACAAAATAACCGGATATAGGCTAAGACCAAGCTCATTCTCTCTTGGCTAAGACAGATCCGGCGTTTCGGGCTTCAATTTTGTAATTGGACATGGCCTTTGAACATTCTCTCGTAATCATTTCATTCAATTCTTAGTTAGCTTTTTGCAGTCACTGCTGACGAAGAGAGTCTCTTTTAGGGTTAATACCTCCAGCACGAAATCCCGAATATCGTCCTAAATATGCTTCAAAATCCCGAATCCCGAGCCCGAAAAACCTATTGGGGATGCTCGATGAAATATCGGGCAATATAAAATTACCTTTTCAGCTGTCCGATCAGTCTTGCATTTTGTTTTTTTAAACTGCTAATTGTGATCTACACCAAATCCGACTTCACTTCGCTCCGCAATGGTCTGGTCCCGTTGCTGAGGCCAAGGCCATCTGTTTCGACGACGCGCTGTGACGTCATTCAAGATGGCTTCCGGCCGGTGTTAGTTGTGTGTTTATTTTCGTCGCGAACAGTCTGCAAGCTGTTCGACTTTCTTAACTTTTTGCTTTCATGTGAGATCAGAACGATGGCCTGTGTTTAATACAGGTCTTGCAATTATTCCACGATTCAATCAACAGCTCTTGTCTATCGTGGACGAAAATGTTGATCAAGGAATACAGAATTCCTCTGCCGATGAGCGTTGAAGAATATCGCATCGCTCAATTGTATATGATTCAGGTAAGCCAATTTTTTTAAAAGAGATCTGATGTAAAACAGTTTTTCTGAGTACAAATCTGAAAGGACTCTCCTCGTTGCCTTTGAAAGTGACACCAGGTTCGACTTCGTTAAAGAACCTTCGATCGCAAATGACTGTTTGCTAATGTCAGAATTTATGTACCGGCCTTCGATGTCTGAAACTCGCAAACAGCCGAAAAGAGGCAAAATTTTCTTGTATATATGTGTACCTGAAAGGAGTTTAAACTTGAGGTCACTAACAGCATCTTCATAGCTGATCGAAAAAAGTCTTGGCACGACATTAACTTTTACAGCATGATGCATCACTTGCCTGTCAATAATTCACTTTCGTGACAGCTTTAAAACTAACGTACCTTCGCTACAAACGAACGAACCTTTTATCTCAGACGTAAACTAACTGTAGTTCAGGCTTAAAAACAAAGTTTGGAACTCATTCATTAAACGCCATTTAGAACGAAGGTGAGATCAAGAAGTCAGTGGTAGAAATAAGTGGATATTTATGGCGTTTCTTTTCGTTTCGTGCAGAGGTACATGTTTGTCAAGTTTCTTATAAATGCCAAAATATAAGCTTATGTGCGTGAAATGTCCATTTGTATGCAATGCTAGTGTTTGCGCTAACACATTTGACTTAGCGTGGGCGATCGGACATGTCCTTGCATTAAAACCTGTTATTTTCTATTCTTTGAATTCCAGATACACACATATGTGCCCTAGAATGCTAGGTCATTTTTGTATGTTGTATTCCAAAGAAAAAGTAATATTAACTGCCACGAAAGATATAGTAATAGAGAAGCAAGCTTCCAATAATATTGAAAGTTCAGCTTTCATACTAAAAAATAGTGTTCTCTAAATTTGATTACTACCTTTGTTCCAGCTGAATATTTTGGCATTACTGCAAAAGACGACTCTGTAGCGGTCCATGTTTGATATTAACCCATTCAAGATAATATTCATAATTTTATGACATTTTATTCAGTTAAGATAAAACGATCTTGGATACCTTCTTGCTCCCAGATGTCCAGTTTGATTTTTAGCCAAGAGAATATGGTCAGTGATAAATAATTACCACTTGCAGCTGCATTCATTCAGTCTGAAATGAAGTAAACAAAAATTAGTGCATCTACAACTTTTGCCATTGATAACAGTTTTATTTATGGCAACATATAAAGAAATTGAGGTTTTCTAAGAGAGTGGAAAGAAAGGTACTTATGAAACAACTTTTTATAAATTTCAAGAGCAATGATAGCTTTGATCAATAGTATTATGCGCTTTAATAAGCTTATGATATGTGAGCATTAACATGGAAAATCCTTTAAATATTCTTTTCAAATGTTGCCCATTCTTACTTTAATTATGTAAATTATTGTTATTTAAGTTTTTTTTTTGCAGTGACCGCGGAGCAAGGTGAAAAGTGGGAGGGCTGACAATTGAAAATAACTTTTTTCATATTGAAAATCGAAAAAAGGAATAAAATCATAGTATTTGATTTGCTTCTGTCGCGTGACTTTGCATACTTTATCCAGTATATGTGAACAACTCGCACTTCCAAAAAAATGAAACTTCTAACAATATATTGAAATGTTTACTGGTCAAACTCAAACACACCATTTTCACTGCAAGTAGTTGTCGCCTTTTCTGCAGAGGTTACAGACTTTGACGAAGTCCCAGATAACTCTAATAAACGACCAACATACACGGTCAGTTCAGATTCAATGCAAGAAAAGACGCGATTACAATTTTAGTATAGAAAATACTACACTGAAGTGATCTGAAAAAATTCTAACTATGTCCGTTCACTGTTCAAGTAATGTAATTCTTCTTGCCATCGATTATTTCATTAATTCGAAAGGAGAAAGACAAAATATAAAACTTTTATCAACTCAAAACAACTACTCACCTTCGTTTGGCTAGAAAAAGCTAGTAATTTTCTTCATTTCGTCTGATAAAACTGATAAAAAACTCTGCCGGAGCTGGAAGTACAAAACACGCTGCCGAACGAAGCGAAGGGGTGGCCAAGGCAAGGCGTTTGATCAAGGGGCAAGTCGGCCCCAGGGCACAATTACCGCGAAAAGCACAGGAGCCCCACAAAATGCCTGGCGTTTGAAATTAAAGAAAATACAGAGAATATAGCGGAATATAGACGGAAAAAAACTTGTTTCAAGTCTTTTTTTTATTTTAATTATTTTTCTTTTTAGCGCAAAAAGTGGGAACGGGGGCGCAAAAAAGTGGTGGGGCCGCGGCCCTACCAGCCCCTCCCCCTTCGCGGTCCCTGTTTTGGCAAAATTATTCATCTTCTTTGCACAAGGATCACCATACATATTTTAAGATTTTTTGTCATCTGTATTCGTTTTACAGTAGTAAATGCCTTAATCAACATTTTTTTTTTAATGATGGTAACAAGTTAAGATTTCTGTCTTTTTATCGAAAAGTTGGAGCATTTTTACCCATTTGCAAAGAAGAAGCAAGTGAAAATTTCTCATCAAGTATAAACATATCCCCCATGCAAAGTTCAAAAACGAATAGCAGTGTGTGATAAAGTTAAAACCCAAAGAAGAAGCTGAATGGTTTTATACTTTTTTTTAAAGTATGAATTGCAAGTTTGCATATTACATGTATGAGTGAAGGAATGAAAATCCATAGGCTTTGGACTGTTTTGGCCAAAAAAACTGATAGTAAAATTCAATGTGGGAATTCTTTTTATTGTGATAATTACTTTGTGTGGCCAGTACCGCTGCTACCTGTAGATCCATTTACTGATGAGTGTTAGAAGTGATCAAACAACTTACTATTCCTCACTATGTATGTAGGGGGAAAATGCAGGGACCCACTGAAAACTGCTAAGGCGAGTGGTTTCCTTGCATAAAAAATTATATTATTATTATTATTATTATTATTATTAAAAATCGAACCTTTTGTGGAATATGAGATTGCAAGCATTTGTACTTGCAATATTGGTGATATACTTCAGCTGAAATGCCTTGGGGGTCTTATAATATGAAGCAGTACCTACACATAGCCAGCAGTACCTGCATAGCCAGCAGTCAGTGCAGGGGGATGACAGAGTTCTCAACATAAATTGAACCTATAAAACATCAGGGTTCATATAGGTCATGGAAAACCTGGGGAGTCATGGAATTTTAAGAAAAATTTCAATTTCCAGGCCTGGAAAGTCATGGAATTTAATTGCCGGTCCTCGAAAGTCATGTAAAATTAAAGTTTTGTTTGATAAATGAGTTACTGCAGATGACAAGGAAAGGACAATGTAATATAGTGAGGAGTTATTAAACAGTGCAAATGGCATGGATTTTGGTAGCCACCAGAGTTTGTGTCTGTTGGATTGTTTGAGGTCATAAAATACCCTAAAACAAGGAAATTTTTTAACATTTTTTAGAAACTGACCTCTAAACCTTAAGTCTTGGAAAACTTGAAAAGGTCATGGAAAATGTCATGGAAAGTCATGGAATTTGAAGAGCTCCCTGACCATAGCACCTGTGATGGGTGTTGCTCATAAGTGTTAAAGCTTTGAGTTGATCACTTTAACACAAAGTTTCTTAAGGCCTGTTTGCCATGTGCCATGTTGTTAACATTGCTTACAAGAATGGAATAGTTTTTTTGAAAAGTGATAAATTATATTAATTATTACTATTAATTATTAATATTAATTACTAATTAATTATTGACAATCCTGGATGGTTTTTGAGCAAACTATTTCTGTAAAGTTTTGGTGTTACTTTTCTCTCTTTTTTTGTTTGTGTATTTTTTTCTTAGCATGACTATTTGTATCCCTTTTATAAAGACTAAACAAATAAGATGATAATATCATATAGGTGGCAAATTTCTCCCTAATTTTGGAGACTTGAATTAAATTTCAGTGTTACAGGTACCAGTAATTAATGTGAAATAACAAAATATGCAATACCATCGTTTGGAGGATATAGGGTACGTATAATGATCACCAAAAGATGAATGAAGCAATCATTCATTGTACATTGTAAGGGCTCATTAAAGGGGAGCATGAAATAAAACCACAAGTGATATCTGATCTCATCTGATCTGAAATACTCTCTTTGATTCACAAGTGCTGATCATGTCTAAGTAAGGGAAATAGTGCTGCGCACAGATGACGTCACAACAAAATTGTGAGCCCTACCGAGCTTCAGACAAACATGGTGGTTGACCTGCACCGTTCTAAACCTCTTATCCATTGGTCCCGTTTAATGTGCACTTCCATTGTTTTCAGGGATAGAGGCCTTGTTATGTCATAATCCCTATTGTTTTCCCAGCCAGTCACTTTGCTTTCTTTCTGGATTTTTCGCTTTTATTTAGTGACTCAGACTTGACTTTTCAGAGATCCTTGAGTCCCTCTTACATTCTACCCAGCTACAACACTTCTTGCTGTTTACCATTTCCCGATAAAAATACACAAAAAACTTTGTTTTGACTCAACACTCGGTGAACGCGCATACAAAGCCTTTGAGTGAGAAGCAAGGACTATCTGAGTCTTGAGGGGAGTCTCATCTGATGTAAACTCTTTTTAAGAATCTGTGCGCAGCACTATTGAAAAGAGAATTGACAGGTTGAGATTTTATCAGAAGTCAGTTATGCCTTTTATTACAGGCACCATTCAAATGATGGCTGTGGAAGACTCCTGATAGGTTTTGAATTTTCTTCCTCAAAAATGTGGAGCTTGCTTCTTATCACCCAAACAGCTGTTTAATTCTCTTATTTATGGATACAGCTGTGAATAAGTAATTTAATATATTTATAGATTAGTTACTCTTAAAATTCAAGGTGTAATTCAATAAAATTATTCAATTCAATTCAATTTATTTCTCTCAATATGTAACAAGTTCAGATGCCCCTTGTGTTAGAATTACATAATCAACTTGTGTTTCATTTTTGAGGTTCTTAATCAATTTATTATTTTTTTTCAATAAGATTAATTAGTGAATAAATAATGATGCAACATATATACTACATGTATTTTACACACATTTACATGTATTCAATTAATATTTCCCAAGTAATATAAATATTGCTTTCTGCTCTTGCTAATCATGTATACTTTTAAAAAGTCTTAAATTAATTTTGAAAGCCATAAAACCTTTGAGAATATTATGATAATATTGACACCATATCGTGCTTAAAAAGTCTTCTTGTTTAAGTGATGAAAAATCCTTATCTCACCATATTTTAGGCAGGTGCTATGTCTTAGCATTTTTTAGGCAAGCGAATACAAGCGCAAAGTGAACGAGGAGTGCCATGGGCGAGGGGGTGAAGGCAAAGGAAAAAAACTCTTCTCATTGCGTGTCTCGTGATCCGTGCTGGCAACGCACTTGCCTTTGCTTGCCAGAAAAACGCCAAAAAATGACGCCTGTCACTGGCTAAGCATCGCTGTCCAGTTTTTTGCCTTTAAGTTTTTGTAGCTTTTTTAAAGACCAAGTGTTCATTTCTTTTGTCAACAACTCTTTAGAAAAAAAGCAGGCTGGATAGCGTTGGTGAAGGAAGTGGAGTAGAGATTCTTGAAAACATACCTTATACAGATGGACCAGGAGGCAGTGGACAGTACACAAAGAAAATCTACCACATTGGAAGCCATCTACCGGGCTGGCTTAAAGCAATTCTGCCCAAGGCTGCGTTGAGAGTGGAAGAAGAAGCTTGGAATGCATATCCCTACACCAAGATGAGGACAACTTGCCCCTTTGTGGAGAAATTTTTTGTTGATGTAGAGACGTATTATTACCCTGATGCTGGACAACAGGTAGAGTTCACGTATGTTGTTCTAAAACTTGTACTGTTTTCTTATCGTCCCTTATAAGGGAATCTGGATTCTGGAATACGGGAAATTTTTGCTTGTGGAATCCGAAATCCTGGGATTTGGAATCTGGCATACAGCTCAAGGAATCCAGAACCCAAGTTTTACTGACAAAGACGCAATCCGGTACCTGGAATCCAGAATCCATGGCAAGGAATCCAGAATCCAAGACTGTGTTGGATTCCCCTACATGGGGCGATTCTTAACACTGTAAACCAAAAGTTCCTTTCTCCTTTCAGTTTAGTTACATTGGCAATTAAAACGTGTTGAAATAATGAAAGTATGAAAATGATAATGATATTAGAACTGCAGAATGAAATTAAATGCACAGAGGATGGTTATTGCAGTTATAGGCACAACTTTTGTATATTTTCCAAAAAGAGAGCCCGAAAAGATTCAGGCTTGTTTACTCAGGATTCAAACTCTGCAAAAGTTGCATCTATAACTGCGATGATCTATTTATACTAGCGAGCTGAAGCAACGAGAACGCAGACATACCCGATGTCAAGACTGGAAGCGGGAAGTGTTGTTGGCTTTTCGCTTAATGATACGCTTCACCCAAATTTGAAACCTTTTGTTTTTACTCCTGTAGTTTGATGTTATCGAACTCAGACCACTAAAAGAGAGAAAAGACCTTCTTCGGGTTGTTATTTTTGACTTCCAGGACGTGAAGGTTTACGTTGCTTAAGCTCGCTAATGTCTTTTTAAGACGTGTTCTTTTATCCGCCTCTCATATTTCTCTTTGGTACCACCCAAACAAAGAATAAGAGAAGTAACTAAGCAGAAACACTAAATAAGGAAAGAAAATAGCATGCTGGGCTAGATGCCATGACTAAATTTTGGAATCTGAGTGGTGTGCTTACCTGCAGTCGCAAAGGGTCTCAAAATGTCTGACTTTCTGTAGTTGTCGTCTTCCTTTGTACTAGCTACATTCCCTATTAACTTTCACAACCAGTTTCTGTGAAGATTAAAGCCATATAACAATCATATCCAGTTCTTTTTCCTGTTGTTTTTTTTTTTTAGGAAAACGTTTTCAACCTGTCAGCTGTTGACCTTCAGAGTCGGGAAGTTGGTGAGTTGGCCTTTTTTTTTGTTCAAACAAAAAAATTTCTTCGGGAACAAGGTCATTTGGGAGGACTTCCACTAAAAAGAATAGACGTTTCTAAGAAAAGACTTTCTGATCGCTGGTCGTTATCCTGCAAGAGCAGACGCCTTCTTCCGCTCTTGACTCACTCGCCATGAAAGAAGAGCCGAAAAAGGCGTCTGTTCTCACATGCTACATGCGTACCTGANTCCTTTGTACTAGCTACATTCCCTATTAACTTTCACAACCAGTTTCTGTGAAGATTAAAGCCATATAACAATCATATCCAGTTCTTTTTCCTGTGGTTTTTTTTTTGTTTAGGAAAACGTTTTCAACCTGTCAGCTGTTGACCTTCAGAGTCGGGAAGTTGGTGAGTTGGCCTTTTTTTTTGTTCAAACAAAAACATTTCTTCGAGAACAAGGTCATTTGGGAGGACTTCCACTAAAAAGAATAGACGTCTCTAAGAAAAGACTTTCTGATCGCTGGTCGTTATCCTGCAAGAGCAGACGCCTTCTTCCGCTCTTGACTCACTCGCCATGAAAGAAGAGCCGAAAAAGGCGTCTGTTCTCACATGCTACATGCGTACCTGAACTATAATTGGTTGAAAAATACTGACGTCACAGAAATCGTTTCCCAGCTCGGGATCACAGACGCCCTTTTCTCGGCGAGTGAAACAAGAGCCAAAAAAGGCGTTTGCTTTCGCAGGTTAACGGATCTTTGGCTCAAACGTATTGTTATTATTTAGTAATAAAGCTGAGATTCACTTTAACGTGGTTCAAGAAAATGTTTTTTGTTTGCTCCTGCAGACATAATTGATCCAATAAAGGATGCAGTTTCCACATCAGATTACAGAGAAGAAGAAGACCCCTTATTATACATCTCCAGCAAAACAGGACGTGGTCCCCTGAAGGAGAACTGGCTAGAACATTACAGAGTAGAGAATCCTCCTTCCGATGTTATGTGTGCTTATAAGCTTATTAAGGTTGAATTCAGATATTGGGGAATGCAGGTGAGGAATTAACCACTGAGACTGACCTGTGTCAGTTGGTTATTTTTGAGTCGCTAGTGGTAGGGTTTGACACTGCAACCCCCGCCAAAGTACCCGTCAAAGCAAATGCTGCCTGATTACAAGAATCGTATCGCTCGCTACGCGTTTCTCGTAGTGGGTAACGACTAAAATTGCAAGTATCCCGCTTGCATGTTAGTATCACTGCGCATCGTTTCAAACGAAATAACGAAGATGCGTTTTTTCGAATTCTTGACGCATGTGTTTACAAGACAAGGATCCATAAGCTAGATACAATGGCAAAAACTTATTCCTTGAGCTGCTGTTTAAAACTCCGGTTGTTGATCTACTGTTTCTTATCCACCATAACGTTAGTGGGTGCTTTAGAATTTGTCCATGAAAAGGATTTTTCGTAAACAACTGGCAACTTGTGGTGAAGGATTTTTCTGCACAATTCCAAATAAACCTTATCCTGAAGGTTAATGAAAGTGGTAAATCCGTAATGTAGTGGTGGGTCCAAACCGTACACTCATACAAGTCAACATAAGGTTTGAGGGGGCTATAAACAGGAATTATTATGAAATCCCTCTTTTCTTTTCATTTCTTTAACTGCAAGAGTTAATTATCTGTGCGTTGTTTCCTTGTAAGCCGCCCAGTGTAGAACATTACCGCGAAAATACTCAATCATTAATACTGCATGGTATATTACAGTTATATTTTGCTACTTAAAAATAACAGTTTACTATTAGAGTTGAGACTACTGAGAAAACCGGCGGTAACTCACTTTTTTAGGGAAGCAGCGTGGCCGAGTAGTTATAACGCTGGACTTGTAATGGGGGGGGCTCGGGTTCAAGTCCATCCCTAACCGATAGCTGCCGGATTTGTTCTCGGTAGTCCCGAGCTCAAATCCTCGGCCACGCTGGTAAATAACCTTCTAGTTCGGCTCCTACCAGTGGGGATTCTTAACCGTATTATTTTCTAGTTAAATGTATATGTTTTGTTATACCTGAAAAGTCCCACAAGGGGTGAGGATAATTGAGTATTTAATTTGATTGAATTTGTTGTTGTTTGTAGAACAAAATTGAACATTTTATCCACTCGGGTCTGAGGCGGCCCATGTTAATGGGCCATAGACAAGCGTGGGTGTGGCAAGATGAGTGGTACGGACTCACGATTGAAGATATTAGGAAATTAGAGGAAGAAACACAGAGAATATTGGCCAGAAAAATGGGGACACTTTCAGAGACTAACAAAGTAAACAGCAGTTTATCTTTAGATCACGATTCCGATCAGGAAATCGGCTTTGCCAGCGACAAAGGACGTGGAAGTGTAGTTTATGTCCAAGACAATAACAACGGCACAAAGCTGGATTTAATTTCTAAAACTTCACTAGATGACAGTGAAGGAAGTATATCTCCTTCACCTGTTGCTATAACGGTTGAGAAATTCGGATATGATGAAGAGAATCCGTCTCAAATCCTGCATGAAAAACTGAGCATGAAAATCTCTCATGGCTTAGAATGTAATGGTTTAGGACAAAAGGAACGGAGCCCTTCTTTCGACAGTTCGTCCGCGAGGGGACTGTCGCGAGCTGAGATGCTGATGGGATGGCGAATGAGTACTATAGAAACCGTTGAATCCGATTCTGGAGAAGAAGAGTTTTTTGACGCACAAGGTATGGTATGGAACCTAACCCTAACCCTTTCCGTAGTTAGCTTAGATACCAACAGCAACGTCCCTGTTTTTAGATATCCTGCCTATGACTATTGAACTGATTTGTGTTTGTGTATGTGAATGTCTTTTTGTGAAAGTAAACATGATCTTCGCAGTAGAATAAACAACCTAAGCGGTCCTAAGGGGTATTTTGAACTGCGGATAAACATGATTCATTTCATATATTTTAATTCATGTCCTCTTACATGTAGGGCTTTTATACAAGCTTCCTGGCTCATAGATCGTACCTGCGTAAACAAATTTAATTGATGTATTGATTGATATCAAATTGAAGACCCTTTCATACATGCATATAATTCTATTGCAGAGGATCTGGAAGATAACTTAGATTCAAATCTGCTGTCCATTCGTCACGTGGAACTCAGCAACAGTTTTAAAAGCCTTGAGTTAGACACGGATTCCTCACGGGGCAGTAGAGAGTCTTTGGATTCGGTAGCTTCTTCACTTACTGATGAACAGAGCTTAGATAAGGTAAGACGACGAAATTCGCAGACTCCAATAATGACTACCGTACAGGTTGTCGAAACGTCATTCTCGATCAGCCACTGTCATAAACAGTCCATTCACTATTTTAGATTTCGTAAAGGCGAAAACATCACTGTCTCGTAGGGAGAAAGTTTTACCATGCGTATAAAACCAATGGGAACTCGATAAAGCCAATAAAGTGCAGAATGCAAATAAATCATCCCTTTAAACCCTAAGTATAAAAACAAAGGGTTGAATTGCTCGCTTTCATAGTTTGTGTGTACAACGCTTTATGAAGGACCTTTTGTTGCTACAAGCCACTTGCTTCTCTGTAGTTCGCATTTGAATAGGCTCAATTGAATGGCTTAGTTCAGTTTCGTTCCACTGAAGAAATGAAATTAGTCAAAATACTCGCTCTCTTGTTTGACTATCGGCTGGTTTATTCACCAAGTTCTGTCTCTTTGCTCCTTGTTTTTCAGTCTCCTCGACTCCTTAGAAAAGAAAAGTTGTGTAAAAAGGTCAGCGATACTTCTACTTGTTCGTTACCAGCCTCCAGCATTACTAGCCTCATTCTCATCATCCACGGTGGGACGCAAATAGACACGGGCATGGATCCCACGTCACGTGCCATGGACTTTAAACTCCTCCAGGATGCATTTGAAGCGGTGATTAATTCACACTACAAAGGTGCTGTGGGAAGGATCGCTCTGAGGCTCGTCGAGTGCCCAGCTATTTGCTCCAAAGCACTGAATCTGTTGTCTCAGCTGTGTCCTTACTCTGAAAGTGATTCGGGTAAGAATTGAATGGCCATAAACAAGAGTCGAAATGCAAACCGTAGACGGGAAAACCGACAGTCTAAAGGACCATTTCAATTCCTTTTTGTCAATCTCCTCACGATTCGGCATCACGCTCTTTCCCACGAAGGCAGAAAGTTCTCTTAGTTCGCTAGTCTATTGTTGGACTATTTGACACCATTCTTCCTCGTTTTAAGCAAAATGGACCATCGTCCTTTTTGTTTAATGGACCAATCATAACCTCTGCGTTTGACTTGAGACAGTTATTCTCCGTCACGCATGTTTGTCCCAGTGTCAATGGATTAAGCAGGCAAGCGGTCTGTAATACGGGACCACCATTTTACGTGGTCATGAGCGTCACGTGAAGGTCTAACCGTTTGCAGTGCAAAGGCAGTACCTTCTTCTTCAGTTCATTAAGACTCTGAGTTTTAGTTGGTCCTAAAAATCGAATTCGCTACCTCCCACTCTCCAGGCCAGCACTCTGCCGACTAAGCTAATCCTTCCGCGGTTATAACTGACCTTCCAACACCCGGAGCGCACAACCCACACTACTGAGAAAAAAAATAGTACCATGCGAATGTTCTGGTAAGAAGCTTAATCAGAATGGTCATATCATAACGAAGGATTACGTGACTCTGTATGCCCAAAACCCTTACCTAAATCGATTGTGTTATAGTGAACCGCGATTTGATCATTAGAGTTGAATATGTTCCTTTTCCTTGTTTTCAGATGCAGCAAGCGTCAACAGTGGCTTTACTCCCGTGTCAAGTAGTTTTCCTTTAAGCGCCATCTCACTGATGGTCTCATCTTCGCCTTTTTATGTTGACGCCGTTAATTCCATGGTGGCCGCCACAAACATGGCTTATCGTGATTTTCTCAAGTCTGAAGAAGGTCAAGGTTTTCGGGGAGAGGTGAATACAAAAATTATTCTGCGACAAAAGAATAACCTTTATGCCCAGTGTTACCTCCAGTTTTTGGACACCCTAAAGACCAGGCTTAAATTGCGGGGGAGAGGGGGAGGGGTGGATTAACCCAAAACACTACAGGGAAATAGCGAGGAATATTTGATTTACTCAAATAGTTGACATATATGAAGAAATGACTACACCTTCATTCATTAATATTGGAATTTATCGTTCAACTCGCTAGCAAAGTTTGGCTATATGGTAAAACTGTGGCAGGTTACCTACATAATTTAAACAATTACTGAATGAGGCTAGTATGATACGATTGAGGGCAGTGTTCGCCTCTCAAAGCTGTAAATTCCTTTGCCTTTTCTTGTGGTCTGCACTCACGCTTAAGCAGCTAAGCTGCCGGGCCGCTGTTTCACGTGACGTCATATACAATCATCGACTTCTTAGTGACTGACATCAGTGATTGTATAACCTAAGCGTTTTCCAAATTTGGTCAGCGCCAGTAGCGCCAGCTGGTTATGAAGAATCTTTTTTGGGGGGGTGGGGAGGGAGGGGAGGGATTATAGCCAGTAAGAAATATTTGTATAGCCAATAAGAAAATATGTGGAATTAATGATAATGTGTTTTATTGACTTGTAGGTTTGTGTTCTTGGTGACTGCATGGGCGCCCTGCTTGCATACGACGCCTTAATCAGTAACGAGAACACCTTGTCCAAACGCACCCAAAGCTTCTTTTCAAACACAGCGATGCTCTCGCCTCTCGCTGCAACGACTGCAGGGAACAACGGAGAAACCAATGGAAGCGTGGTGAAAAAACCGCGCCGCACAAGTAGCCATACTCCGCCCAGTAAAAGCTTGGAGGTCTCGCACAATCTCAGACTCAGTCTGAGTAGCGGAAATATTCGAGAAAATGTCGATCCAAATTCCGACGAAATCATGCGCGCTCCGCCAGTCGAGGAGTTGGAAGACACCGTTTTGGAGTCACCGAATCAGCTAAGCAGAGCCGAGCGGCTACAAAAGTTTTCCTTCGAGACCTCTCTGTCGATGGATTCCGTAGATCATGCTATGTTCGATTTTGAAGTTTCCAAGTTTTTCGCATTTGGTTCGCCTATCGGACTTGTTTTGGCTTATCGTAGATTCATGCATGGAGAGGACAGGACAGGTAATGACCATACTTATCACTGTAAATAAAACTGAACGTTTTCCTTACAATAAGTTCCCATAGTCACCACGCTATACGCTCGATTTCCGTCGCTCTCTCGGATCCGGGGGTCCGTTTCTCAACAGTCCCGGTAACTTTACGGCCCGATATCAGATTTTCAGATCATAATCTAAACAACAAAAACGCGTTTCCTAGCTATCATATTATCTACAAACCTACTGAAACCTCTATCTCAAATTTAAACGACAACAGCTTTTCAGGCCCGTTAATTATCGGGACTTTTGAGAAACGGGCCTTCGGTCTTATTCCTTTTCGGGAAAAGAGCGTGGGCTCATTTCTCGATCAGCGGCTGGTAATTGGGTCTACTCACACGAAGGAGTATTTTATTTCCAAACCAAATCATTTCATTACTTTCTTTGCAGCTGTACCGCCAAAACCTGCTTGCGACCAGGTCTATAACCTGTTTCACCCGTTTGACCCATCTGCGTCTCGGATCGAACCTTTGATCAGTCCGCAGTTTGCACAGATCCCTGCTGTAAGCGTTCCTCGTTATCACCGGTTCCCGCTTGGAGATGGCCAATCACATCTTCTTAACAAGGTCTTTGCTGATAATCCTGAACTCTTTGTTAGCCAGCCTGGTAATTTTCGTTCTCAATCTCGCCCGGGCTTGGTTCAACGGGACAGCAATCTGAGCACTGTAAGCCTGGTATCTAGTGACAGTTCGGATAGCCCTAGAGGGGGTACAGAGTTTGATGCAGGTATGTCTAAGTTTTTATTAGGTGGCGCGATTCTTTTATTTAAAAAGGTTTTACAAGATATCCGATAATCCTGAATACGTGACAAGATCGAGAAGCTGCTTCAAATTCCTGAAAATGACAGCCTTAATGTTTCACGAACAGTAAGTTGATTACCGAACCTGTCTGGCGTTTATTTGTACTGACTCGTGAAGGACGCAACGTTGTTTTTACTGACTTGCTCTAATGCTAAGTTTTTGATCAAGTACAGGATATTTCACTGATTTCTTTGTTTACGTAATCAGCGGTCGCTAATTGGTGGGGCACCAGACGACTTGACTTTGCCTTGTACTGTCCCGAGGGACTTCAGCAATTTCCAACAGCCGTTCTCTCGCCTCTCTTCCATGTCAGCTATTGGGAATCAAGCGACGTGGCCGCGTTTGTCGTCAGACAGGTACTCAACTGGTTTGGTGCTTTTGCTTCTCCTTGTGTTCGTTGTGGTTTTTTAGCCTGGTTACGTCTTGTTAGTGGTGACACATATAAACCCGGTTCAGACGCTGATCTTTTCATGAGTCAAACCTAATACATTGAATTAAGTACATGAAAAGTTTGGCGTATGAATACGTGATTAGGAACGCCTATTTCAATTTGGAACGGCTCAGCCGTTCTTCACGCCTAGCCCGGCCGGGAATTTCGACTGGTGAACGACTTTTGAAGTCATGATTTCAAGAATACAGTTAATATGTATATTTTTATTTTAACAGGCAAAAAAAGTCTTAGAGGAGACAAAGCGGGATGCCGAACTTCATCATGCTGCTTGCAACTTTAAAAAAAGACCAGGCCAANCTCAGTTGCTGAGTCATGCCCTAGGGGAGGCTTTAAAATACAGAATTTCCAGACATGGATGAGGGAATTTTCCGTAAACAGCATGTGATCATGCCGGCTAGGACGTATTGCCTCCATATTGCCCCTTTTTACAGCTAGCTAGGCTCATTTTTAGGTTCCATGGCCTGAAATGACGATAAATTCATGCCCTAAATGTAAAAAGTCCAAAAACGTCCTCGAAAGTTTAGTTTCCAAGCCGTTTTAGACTATCGGCTGGTTTATTCACCAAATTCTGTCTCTTTGCTCCTTGTTTTTCAGTCTCCTCGACTCCTTAGAAAAGAAAAGTTGTGTAAAAAGGTCAGCGATACTTCTACTTGTTCGTTACCAGCCTCCAGCATTACTAGCCTCATTCTCATCATCCACGGTGGGACGCAAATAGACACGGGCCTGGATCCCACGTCACGTGCCATGGACTTTAAACTGCTCCAGGATGCATTTGAAGCGGTGATTAATTCACACTACAAAGGTGCTTTGGGAAGGATCGCTCTGAGGCTCGTCCAGTGCCCAGCTATTTGCTCCAAAGCACTGAATCTGTTGTCTCAGCTGTGTCCTTACTCTGAAAGTGATTCGGGTAAGAATTGAGTGGCCATAAACAAGAGTCGAAATGCAAACCGTAGACGGGAAAACCGACAGTCTAAAGGACCATTTCAATTCACTTTTGTCAATCTCGTCACGATTTGGCATCACGCTCTTTCCCACGAAGGCAGAAAGTTCTCTTAGTCAGGTCTATCGTTAGACTATTTGACACCATTCTTCCTCGTTTTAAGCAAAATGGACTATCATCCTTTTTGTTTAATGGACCAATCATAACCTCTGCGTTTGACTTGAGACAGTTATTCTCCGTCACGCAGTTTGTCGCAGTCTCAATGGATTAAGCAGTCAAGCGGTCTGTAATACGGGACCACCATTTTACGTGGTCATCAGCGTCACGTAAAGGTCTAACCGTTTGCAGTGCAAAGGCAGTACCTTCTTCTTCAGTTACGTTAAGACTCTGAGTTTTAGTTGGTCCTAAAAATCGAATTTGCTACCTCCCACTCTGCAGGCCAGCACTCTGCCGACTAAGCTAATCCTTCCGCGGTTATAACTGACCTTCCAACACCCGGAGCGCACAACCCACACTACTGAGAAAAAAAATTGTACCGTGCGAATGTTCTGGTAAGAAGCTTAATCGGAATGGTCATATTATAACGAAGGATTACGTGACTCTGTATGCCCAAAACCCTTACCTAAATCGATTGTGTTATAGTGAACCGCGATTTGATCATTAGAGTTGAACACTGTTCCTTTTCCTTGTTTTCAGATGCAGCAAGCGTCAACAGTGGCTTTACTCCCGTGTCAAGTAGTTTTCCTTTAAGCGCCATCTCACTGATGGTCTCATCTTCACCTTTTTATGTTGACGCCGTTAATTCCATGGTGGCCGCCACAAACATGGCTTATCGTGATTTTCTCAAGTCTGAAGAAGGTCAAGGTTTTCGGGGAGAGGTGAATACAAAAATTATTCTGCGACAAAAGAATAACCTTTATGCCCAGTGTTACCTCCAGTTTTTGGACACCCTAAAGACCAGGCTTAAATTGCGGGGGAGAGGGGGAGGGGTGGATTAACCCAAAACACTACAGGGAAATAGCGAGGAATATTTGATTTACTCAAATAGTTGACATATATGAAGAAATGACTACACCTTCATTCATTAATATTGGAATTTATCGTTCAACTCGCTAGCAAAGTTTGGCTATATGGTAAAACTGTGGCAGGTTACCTACATAATTTAAACAATTACTGAATGAGGCTAGTATGATACGATTGAGGGCAGTGTTCGCCTCTCAAAGCTGTAAATTCCTTTGCCTTTTCTTGTGGTCTGCACTCACGCTTAAGCAGCTAAGCTGCCGGGCCGCTGTTTCACGTGACGTCATATACAATCATCGACTTCTTAGTGACTGACATCAGTGATTGTATAACCTAAGCGTTTTCCAAATTTGGTCAGCGCCAGTAGCGCCAGCTGGTTATGAAGAATCTTTTTTGGGGGGGTGGGGAGGGAGGGGAGGGATTATAGCCAGTAAGAAATATTTGTATAGCCAATAAGAAAATATGTGGAATTAATGATAATGTGTTTTATTGACTTGTAGGTTTGTGTTCTTGGTGACTGCATGGGCGCCCTGCTTGCATACGACGCCTTAATCAGTAACGAGAACACCTTGTCCAAACGCACCCAAAGCTTCTTTTCAAACACAGCGATGCTCTCGCCTCTCGCTGCAACGACTGCAGGGAACAACGGAGAAACCAATGGAAGCGTGGTGAAAAAACCGCGCCGCACAAGTAGCCATACTCCGCCCAGTAAAAGCTTGGAGGTCTCGCACAATCTCAGACTCAGTCTGAGTAGCGGAAATATTCGAGAAAATGTCGATCCAAATTCCGACGAAATCATGCGCGCTCCGCCAGTCGAGGAGTTGGAAGACACCGTTTTGGAGTCACCGAATCAGCTAAGCAGAGCCGAGCGGCTACAAAAGTTTTCTTTCGAGACCTCTCTGTCGATGGATTCCGTAGATCATGCTATGTTCGATTNGTGTTCGCCTCTCAAAGCTGTAAATTCCTTTGCCTTTTCTTGTGGTCTGCACTCACGCTTAAGCAGCTAAGCTGCCGGGCCGCTGTTTCACGTGACGTCATATACAATCATCGACTTCTTAGTGACTGACATCAGTGATTGTATAACCTAAGCGTTTTCCAAATTTGGTCAGCGCCAGTAGCGCCAGCTGGTTATGAAGAATCTTTTTTGGGGGGGTGGGGAGGGAGGGGAGGGATTATAGCCAGTAAGAAATATTTGTATAGCCAATAAGAAAATATGTGGAATTAATGATAATGTGTTTTATTGACTTGTAGGTTTGTGTTCTTGGTGACTGCATGGGCGCCCTGCTTGCATACGACGCCTTAATCAGTAACGAGAACACCTTGTCCAAACGCACCCAAAGCTTCTTTTCAAACACAGCGATGCTCTCGCCTCTCGCTGCAACGACTGCAGGGAACAACGGAGAAACCAATGGAAGCGTGGTGAAAAAACCGCGCCGCACAAGTAGCCATACTCCGCCCAGTAAAAGCTTGGAGGTCTCGCACAATCTCAGACTCAGTCTGAGTAGCGGAAATATTCGAGAAAATGTCGATCCAAATTCCGACGAAATCATGCGCGCTCCGCCAGTCGAGGAGTTGGAAGACACCGTTTTGGAGTCACCGAATCAGCTAAGCAGAGCCGAGCGGCTACAAAAGTTTTCCTTCGAGACCTCTCTGTCGATGGACTCCGTAGATCATGCTATGTTCGATTTTGAAGTTTCCAAGTTTTTCGCATTTGGTTCGCCTATCGGACTTGTTTTGGCTTATCGTAGATTCATGCATGGAGAGGACAGGACAGGTAATGACCATACTTATCACTGTAAATAAAACTGAACGTTTTCCTTACAATAAGTTCCCATAGTCACCACGCTATACGCTCGATTTCCGTCGCTCTCTCGGATCCGGGGGTCCGTTTCTCAACAGTCCCGGTAACTTTACGGCCCGATATCAGATTTTCAGATCATAATCTAAACAACAAAAACGCGTTTCCTAGCTATCATATTATCTACAAACCTACTGAAACCTCTATCTCAAATTTAAACGACAACAGCTTTTCAGGCCCGTTAATTATCGGGACTTTTGAGAAACGGGCCTTCGGTCTTATTCCTTTTCGGGAAAAGAGCGTGGGCTCATTTCTCGATCAGCGGCTGGTAATCGGGTCTCCTCACATGACGGAGAATTTTACTTGCAAACCTCATCATTTCATTATTTTCTTTACAGCTGTACCGCCAAAACCTGCTTGCGACCAGGTCTACAACCTGTTTCACCCGTTTGACCCATCTGCGTCTCGGATCGAACCTTTGATCAGTCCGCAGTTTGCACAGATCCCTGCTGTAAGCGTTCCTCGTTATCACCGGTTCCCGCTTGGAGATGGCCAATCACATCTTCTTAACAAGGTCTTTACTGATAATCCAGAACTCTTTGTTAGCCAGCCTGGTAATTTTCGTTCTCAGTCTCGCCCGGGCTTGGTTCAACGGGACAGCAATCTGAGCACAGTAAGCCTGGTATCTAGTGACAGTTCGGATAGCCCAAGAGGGGGTACAGAGTTTGATGCAGGTATGTCTAAGTTTTTATAAGGTGGCGCGATTCTTGTATTTAAAAGGGTTTTACAAGATATCCGATAATTCTGATATTTCACTGATTTCTTTGTTTACGTAATCAGCGGTCGCTAATTGGTGGGGCACCAGACGACTGGACTTTGCCTTGTACTGTCCCGAGGGACTTCAGCAATTTCCAACAGCCGTCCTCTCGCCTCTCTTCCACGTCAGCTATTGGGAATCAAGCGACGTGGCCGCGTTTGTCGTCAGACAGGTACTCGTCTGGTTTGGTGCTTTTGCTTCTCCTTGTGTTCGTTGCGGTTTTGTAGCCTAGTTACGTCTTGTTAGTGGTGACACATATAAATCCGGTTCAGACGCTGATCTTTTCATGAGTCAAACGTAATACATTGAATTAAGTACATGAAAAGTTTGGTGTATGAATCCGTGATTAGGAACGCCTATTTCAATTTGGAACGGCTCAGCCGTTCTTCACGCCTAGCCCGGCCGGGAATTTCGACTGTTGAACGACTTTTGAACGGCTTTGATTCAAACGCCGAACTTTCATGTACCGAACCCAATGCATAGATGATGATAACGTATTTTGCAAGCAGTTTGACCAAAATGAGCATTTTTCTTCTTTTGATTTTGAATTTAGTTCGGCTGGAATTAAGATTTCAGCCGGTCTAAATAGTTTGGGTGGGCCTCAATTCGAATTAGGTTTGGCTCATGAATAGTTCGGCGTCTGAACCGGGCCTTAACGGTGGGGTTCATAACGGTTGCGGGAAAGGAAATCTCGTAAGGGCGAGGGAGAAGGAGGGAATCGACTTTCCCTTCCTCGCTTCTCTCGCAAGTTCTCCCTCCCCCATTTCTTCCCTTTTTTAAACTTATCGGGCCAGAATCCTTGAAAGTATCAAGAATCCCTTTCGGCCCCGGACTTTCTTTGAAAAGAAATAAATAAAGAAATTAGAATAGTTTTGTCGTTTCAGCCCACTAATGAGCCATTATAACATGATCCCTCTTCCATTATCATTGTTTAGTTGACTTCGACTGTGTCCGGTAATACTGAGTTGTTTTGTTTTCCTTTTTGCACAGATTCTTCATGGTGAGTTGGACAGTGTCAGTGTATCATCACCCAGTAGAAGATGTCAGACGTTTAGCCCTGCTGAACCCAGAGAGAAGTGGCTAAAACGAAGAACGGCTATGAAAATTAAGGTATTTACTTTCGCTGTCCTGTGCACTATATTGGGTAACCTGTGTCCTGCATGCATGAAACAGGTTATGGGCGTTGTGGTTCACTTTCTACTCATCATGCGTGGCCAAAGACAATCGGAAATAGTTTCACATTTAGAAATTCTTATTAACAAATTTGGAAACTTTTTTGGTTGTTGTAGTTGGTTCAAAAACATTTTTGTGATTCTCTAAATTATGTGATAATGCTCCGACCCAGACGGTTAAGAAAAAAAAAAACGTTACGGGTCGGTAACAGTGACTTTTGGAACTTTTCCTTGATTTTGTTCTACTTGCAGAACCTGAGCGCCAATCATCGGGCCAACGACCGGGTGACCCTAGAAGGTCAGGACCAGACCATTTCGGCCAGGTTTATGTATGGTCCACTTGATATGGTTTCGCTTAGCGGAGAGAAGGTAGGAGTAACGAACAAAGTTTTCGCTCGGATTCAAAGCCAGAACCACCTTGTACATATATTAACGGTACTACAGGAGGGTACGCTTTAAAGCCTTCGTCTTATTGAGTCCTCGCGATTTGGTCGACACAAAGGAAGTCGGAGGAAATGTAATTCTACGGTACAGTGAACTCTCAGTAAGCTGGACACCTTCTCGACCCCACCTAAAATTTAAAGACCCCACGACCTCTAGATAAGAATACCGTTAGCTGACCGACTGAGCTAAAAAGGTAGAGAGATATCTGATCCCACACTGGAATTGCATAGAATTTTAGTATACTTGAAATTTCCCTCCATGTAACCGGTACATCTATTTGCAGTTAAGTTTCACTGTAGAAAAACAAGTTAATTCAGGCCGGAATAAGCAGCCATGTGTGCTTCGTAGATATACCATTTTCTGATCCAATGTCGCTCTTTTCAGGTGGACATCTACGTCATGACCCAACCTCCCTCTGGAGAGTATGTTTTATTTGACACCGTTTTGACCGGAAGTGGAGGAAAGTTATCTTGCTCTATTCCTGAAGATAAGAAACTTCCGGTGGGAATCTACCCCATCAAGTTGGTCGTCAAGTAAGTATAACAGCTCCACCCAGAATGCAACGCCACGCAACGCTCCTCCCGTTACGTGACGAAGCGTTGCGTGACGACCCTAAGAACGGCGGCGAAGGAGACGAGGGAGGTGGTCGTTTACGAGATTCCAACCACAGGGGCTGTCTTCCGAGAACAGCTCCCGACACATTTACTTTTCGGTAGAGAATTTATCTTATGCAATTTCTAAGTCGGTCCCGGCACTCGAGCTGAGGCCACTTCGGTTGGAGGGAAGTGCTATCACCACTGGTACACTCTTGCTCCTCCCTATGGTGTGTACTGACGGGGTGGCGGGGGAGGGTCTGGAGTATAGAGAAGGGTTGATTAAGGCTCTTCACGTTGCATTTTGTTGTTTTTGCTTTGTAGAGGTGATCACACGTGGGTAGATAGTAACCTAGCCGTTTTGCCGCCTAAAACCGAAGCTGTTGTGTTCAGTATCGACGGCTCATTCACGGCCAGTGTCTCCATTCGTGGTAAAGACCCAAAAGTTCGCGCTGGAGCTGTGGATGTTGTCAGGTAACAGAGTTTTGTTTTCACAGTGAAAGGAGCACACCCGTGGCCGCCTAACAAACTTTTTGTGGCTACGATCTTTGAAAGCGTAGCTTCTTTGCTGTGTTGTCTTCTGTGCGTGCGTAATGTAAAAAAACAACAACGTAACCTCTGCAGAAATAACTGTAAAGTGACGAATATAAATGAAAAAAAAAACTGTTGTTGAGGCGCGGAGATCCTATGTTCGATTCCGAGATTCTCCTTGGAATCTCTCAGTGTAAAGGAAAGCCGGGTTTTTTTAGTTGGCGGGTGGTGGGGGGTGGGGGAATCCTAAAGCGTCTCCATTCAGCAGATCAGACAGCGCAACTTCGCTATTACTAGATACTTTAGCGTCTCTCTGGTTTCTCTTTTAGACACTGGCAAGAATTGGGTTTCTTGATTGTTTACGTTACAAGCCGTTTAGACTTTCAGAAGACCAAAGTTATGTCTTGGCTTGCAGAACATAACTTTCCATACGGATTAGTTTCATTCGGCAACGGGATTACTAAGGATCTCCAGAGACATAAAACCGAGTTTCTCCGTTACCTCGTCAATGATGTGAGTTATTTATGTTTTAAGTCTGAAGTTTCACCAAAGGAAAAGGCTCATACCAAACGAATTTCTGTTTTACTGTTATTGCGCTCGTTTGCTGAGTCAAGTGACGCATGCATCTCTAATTCACAATCTAATTGAAACAATAAAACCCAGTAAATTAGTGAGCCATTTTCAGGCACTGTGCCATCGATCTTTGTATCCTGTGTGTTCAGCTCATTATGGGCCATTTTCGAGTTGTCCCGAGCCTCTGCTTCATAACGAGGGAAAGGCGAAGTCTTTGATATGAAAATATTCTTGTTCTCTTGCAAGTCATGGGCTCCTGTGCATTTTCACCTAAACAGTTCTGCATTTAGCCTCATTTTGAAATTGAGGGTTTTTGGAATTCGGAAATGACCTATTTGAATATTCTTGAATAGTCTTTTCATTAGAATTTTTTCAGCTTTCTGGTGTAATTAAATAATGACTGTTCCTTGTTGTCGTTAGTGTCAAGTGTTGATTCACGCGGCGTATGGATCAGTGAAAGACATTTCAGTTTACACATCTATCGGAGTTCAGTCGCATCAGATTTACACTGTAGGAAAACACCATCCGAGGAAATACGCGAGCCAGGCTCAGGTTAGTAACACCGTTATTTACTCTTTATTCGCCCGTTGACACTAATTAATTGAGGTGGCCTCTTGAGACTTGTCCAGTCTCTTAAACTATGTTCACACTCGGTGTCGAGCTCGTCGCCCGAGTGCGGTATGTATTTGCTGGGAAGTAATGTAAACACAACGTGTTTTCAAGTACCCATGCTACCTATCATAAACCCAGGTCGTGCGGACTGGAGAACGCGCGGACGTGTAGATTTTAGTCAAATTGTTTAACATTGATATTAATTCATTTGGTAAATGGGAGACAAAGTTAAATCACTCGAAAGAGAGAACGACAAGTTGCGAGACCAGATTAAAAATCTGTCAAAGGATTTCGCAAATTTCAAAGACAAGGTGTACTGTAAATTCTTTCTCTCTTTGTACAATCCTTCCGCATTATATTATATATAGACAAAAATGTACATAAAAGAATAAAAATTATACTCTACACGTAAATTGACTGGCCCGCCAAGATTAGCTCAAGCTACCTGCGGGCCATTGCACTTTGTAAAACGTAAATAAGGAAACAATTCTGGCACGATGTGCATGGTGCCTGATAACAAGATCTCAACCTTGTACTCGGACGTTAAATATTGGCACTGGGTCTACAAGAGAGCCTGGCAATATTTCTAGAGCAATATTTTTTAATAACTGATAGCGCTGTTTTGTTCTTTTCTTTAGTTCCTAAAGGACGGCTATGCAGCTCATTTAACATTCCTGTCCAATCAACCTATTTCCAGACCGGCTGTTGGAAATTCCCGGTTGATAATCAGGCGAGGTTGCTTTGGTCTTCAATCACGAACTACCAAGGCAAGGCACAAGATCAAACGTTCCATTTCAGATAAGCCGTCGAACGATTCTGACGTAGAAAGTTCAACTTTATCAGGATTCTTTAATTACTCCTCCTTTAGACACACCAAGGGGCGGTCTATGAATAAATTTGATCAAGACTATTAGAAATGACCATTGCACTCGAGTAGAAAATAACCAACGGATCGGCTTAGATTGGTGGCACAAGAGCGATGCTTTATGAGAGGTTCATAATCGAGAATCATAAGCTATGAAAAATATCTGACCTTAGAGCTCGAGTGAACTCCATCAGATTCGAAGAACTCCCTCATGCAAACAAATATCGAACCTTCGTGAAGTAATGAATCTTACCTTCGATGCTGTTTCCTTCCTGTGGTTTTAATTTCTTCATCATATCGTGCTTATATCCGTGTTTTCCTGCGATTCTCGAGCGTTTGAAATACCTTCCTGTCAGCCGCCATTTTGTACATCCTTCGCTCAGACCCAGTTCCTCGCTGTGTGATTTAGCACCCCCCCTCCCCTCCCCCCGCTTAAGGTTTGAGTGTACGGCGGTGGTCAGCTCATTTGCAGAGAAGGCATCGAGTGAAAACAGGGGCGTAAAAAAAGCCGATGTCGAAATTAAACACACGGGTCAACAAACTTGAAGAGAAGACTGACTCCTTTATCGATATTTTGAAAACACTATTCAGCTTGATTGAATGCTCTAGAACTCCGTGTTTTCCATAACCCCGGCCGGCCTAAAATAAAAGGCAAAATATTTTCTAAAGGACACGCCCTAAGTTTGTGGAATGAAATATATTCTCAATCTCGGTCGTCTTGAAAATTTGTCGGCTGTAAAACAGTCCTCGTGTGTTATTAAGGTAGTAATACGGAGAAACGTTTCCTTCGTGTTCCCACCTTCCAGAGCTGTTCTGCGTTCCACGTTGGTTCAGAGGTCACAGATTTGAGGTACTCGAACATTGCCTCCAATTTGTTTTGTTTTTTGCAATCCCATCGTCTTCTAGCCTGAGAAAACAGCCGACGTTTCGCTACGCCACCGCTGGTTTCCCTGGGAAATGTCGTCTGAGAAACGAGCGCAGAAATTCCGTACTGATAACGCGTCACTACCCAGATCTGGATAGTGCTTCTGATTGGTTGAAGCAGAATTCCCACGCGAACGACCAATCAGAAGCGCTACCCAGATCTGAGTAGTGACGCGTTCTGCACTCTTTTCTAAGGCGTCATTTCGCCTTGGAAACCAGTGGTGGCGTCGCGAAACGTCCACTGTTTTCTCAGGGTAATCGTTTTCTTAACTAAATAATGTAGGATAGTATTGGTCGTTACTGTATGTGCTCCTGTTTAGATTTAAGTGCGTGACGCACCAGCGTCCAATCGAAAAGTATATTCACGCACGTCACGCTGCGTCCCAATCACTTTACTGAACTTACGGTGACAATTTCCGGCTTGTTCTCTATAAACAGTACTGTGTTCGGTGAAAATGTTCCATATAAATTTGACTGAGAGGTTTCAATATTAAATTATTTAAGTTAAATGTAGTTACCATGTATCTATAATCAAAGACTAAGTTGTAATGTATTCCTTCCCAGTTTAGTTTATATTTTGAAGACTTAGCTTCTCTTTAAAAAGTAGGTATATTTAAGAGTTGATTCTTACGCTCCCACACCCTCTTAACGGTTTGTTTTCCTGATGTCTGAGTACGTGAGGCAAATCCTTCAGTATCACTATTTAAATGAGATTTTCTGGCAGCACTTTCTTGTGTTGCTGTTTATTATGCTGTACAAGGTGTAGGCTCGATTACCCGCTGCTATTCGGGAAATGAGCTCGCGCTCCTCCCTCTGATCTTAGGGCGGACCCGAAAGAGCGGCAGAAATCGAGCCTACACAAGGCGCAACTTTTGACTTTGTACATGAAATCCTTTGGTGTTACCATTGAGATAAAACCTCGTCAGAAGTTCTTTTACATGTTATCAACCGTTTCTTCTACACGATTATGTTTTTTTTTTGGATTTTTTCTACGGCTTTCTGTCCTCTTGGGAGTAAAAGAGTTAACTCATTATGGGGGGCATTTAATTATGGAAGTTTACCCTCTATCCACTTGCTTCTCGGTTACTTTTTCCTTTCTTCTGAAACAAGCTTTAGCCGCATAAGAAAGACCGCTCGTCAACGAGCCCTTTGCTGTCGCTCAGCTGCGGCTCCAGTCATGAAGAGAGGAGAAAAAAAACCTCAGAGGCCAGGTTAATGTAAAATTTAATATATTCTCACGATAAGTTATTTAAAAACATCGCCTACATATACACTAGGTGACTTCAGAAGGTCATGACTGGTCCAAGCTCTCGTAAAGATTTTAATTACTGGATTTATTATCTTTTATCTGAGGCTCCGCTCGCGCGCTCGTTAAAGTGTGCGCGAGAGGGGGGCTTCACTGGACACAAAAACTGTTAAATTAATTACCTCAATGAAGTTAGAGATAATACTAATGTTATTATTAACGAATGGCGTAAAATATTAACTCCTAAGAAAATAATATATAAGATTGTCAGGCGCTGTGGTAGTCTGATGTAATCTGTCAATCAAACCTGGCTGGTCCAATTACAGACGTGTATTTCTAGTGATAACAGTATTACCGTACAATATTATGGACTCGTTGTCCATTACTTTGGCAAGTAACATACTGTGCCAAAAAGACTTGAACATGATCTTCGTTTAATTAAAAATAGAATGAATAAGTGTGATTTGATGTTAAGGAAGATGCAGATAAATATTACAAATCATTAAAGTTCATGGAAGATTTTTTGTCTTGAAGCGGTTTAATGATGTTTGTATTTAAGATTTAAGTTGTTACGAGTTGTTCTCCAGAAGAGCAGAAATTCTAGCTTTAGCCAGATCATAGCTGAATTCAACATTCAACTGATGAAGGCATGAAGACGTTGAGATAGAGTCGAAATATTTCGGTTTAAACTATCTTTGCTCTGGGTACGAAAGTTTTTCCTGGCTGTAGTTTTCGAGATGCAGACCAGTGACATAGCTCCCTCAAGAGCATACACTAAAACTACAGGGCTGACTTTTTCAAAAGATGATAAGCAATATTCCAGGCTACCATGCTACTAGCTACCATGACAACTGACTTGCATGCTTTGTCGGTTTGCAGTTAACCCAGGATTACCGCTATCACAGCCTCGTTCCCAGTCATCCTCGGTGATTTCGGACGTGACGCCGCCTGTCAGGGCCCGTCAAGTTTGTCTTGAGAATTTGCTTGGTTCCGAGCCTCCTTCACTCACTCGCCGGGTCGGCATGGGGACGAGGCTGCCGCTATCCGTGGTTCGATCAGCTCGGCCCAGTAAATGTGACTTGACGTATATTACAGAATTCCATACGTTTATTTATTTATTTTTTCTATTTGTTATCTTTATTCATCTTAAATGTATTACTGCGCTTTTCACAAACATGCGAATTCTGAAGTTCAAAAGCCAACTGACGATTGCGTTTTTCGCTGCTGTTAATCATCTTAACGGACCTCTTAGGAAACAAAACTTTACTTTAACGGGTTCAAAAGGTCAAGGTTTGTGATTTGTGATTGGTGAATTTGGATCCGTTTTGTGTGTTTCTGTCTTTCAAGGTTCGTTGTTTGTGATCGTAATTATGATTGACGGCAGCGAAAAACGCCATTGTGAAGGCGGCTTTTGAACTTTAGAGTTCGCATGTTTGTGAAAAGCGCAGTAAATACCAAAGACTGGTGTGCGAGATGGAGATATTTATTTTGCATCATCTTAATGTGAATCCGCATTAGTTATGTGAATTTATTCCGGTTGGGTGAAATTATACCTAAGAAAAAGGCTAAATGTTTAATCAAGGCTTCACTACGGACATAAAAATTCTCTCTTTTGGCCTCCTTATTTTTTGTGGTACTCTCCGGGAGGGACTGGGAACTAATCATCATTTTTGAATACCCCTGTCACAGTGATGTGAACATCCCCGCGTTTTGGGCATCCTCATTCCCAAAACTTTAGTGCTATGGGCATCCCCTTCTCATATCACCTTAGCGATTTGGGTTAGGGTTAGGGTTACAGGGGACGCCGATATCACTAAGGTTTGGGAATGGGGATGCCCAATACGCAGGGATGCCCATATCACTGTAACACCGTTAACTGTCACTTATAAGCCCTGGGCCTATGCATCTTCGTAAGAGGTTTTAGGAGCGCTTATAAGCGGAGGGACATATCCGAGGGGGCTTATAACCGGAATAGAAAAAGGGCTTCGAAACAAGCTATAGCAGTGCTGATGAAAAATATGCTTTGCATTAACTGGTGCTTGATTAAGCTTCAAAACTTCACAATGAATCATATGAGCGCTTATGACCAAGTGAAAATCAAAATTCGTATAGTTGTAAGCGGAGTCATAAGCGCGACACAATCGGAGTCAGTAAGCTTCAGTAGAATAAGAACGTTTCCATTTTCGTCCGACTGCTTACGTCTCCGTCGCTTACGTTCCGCTTATGATCTAGTGAAAACCAGATTGTCGGAGTCGGAAGCAGAAGCGGAGGGATAAACCAATCACAATGCACGTTCCCTTTGTGTTTGGCCTGTTGCTTGCGATTCCAACGACCCAGTTTTCACTTGATCGTAAACGACGGAGTCGTAAGGGGAATCAGAAGAAGCTAGAAGAACCAGAACGCTGTTTTCACTTGATCGTTAAGTTCTACGCTTCTGATTGTTGCATTTGGAAAGTGCAAATTGACCACTACAGAAAAGAAACTGAAGAAAATGCTTATGCAAAATTTTGGAGTGACAAACAAAGAGTATTATGGTATGTTATGGTATTTTCTGTAGTGGTCAATTGGCGGCCGGCAAACGTCAATCTGAGCCACGTGACCAAGTTATCCTCTAATTTTTCATCTACTGTTTATTATATCTCCCAAAAGCAGCTCCATGTCAGGTTCATCCATAAGAATTATTTTGACAGTTTTTGACTTCTCATCTCTTAATTTGGGAATATGCCAACATGAAGTCTTCGCGTTTACTGTTTGCCATGAACGCGATATTTCTAAATCAATTATTACCTTCTCCAGGCTCTCAAAGAGTCGACGCTGCTTTAAAAGAAAACTGGTAAACACAAAAAATGACGGCTTTCCTTTTATTTAGAATCTCGTTTTAAGGGCCTAGAAAACTGTGCACAAAAGCTATCCCAATCGTTGAAGAGGTGTTTTCGCACATGGTCTCTCTACTCGCGCAAACATAATAGAAGAGCCTCATTTCACATTCAGATCATAGAGCGACAAATTTCGCATATCTCAAGAATCATTCTAGTTATTATGAGTAACAACTGTCGGCCTGTCTGTGAAGAAGCGATTGAGAGCCCTCGTCGACAATACTTTTAAACGGCACTACCAGTTTTGCCGTCCCCTGGCAAAACGAAATTTGGAATATTACGCTTCTTTGAAAGGACACTGTTAATGTTAAGGTTTTCATGTTCGATTTTTGTTCGTTGCTGTTCGTCTTTTACTATTTTGGACGAGGGTCTTGGATTGGCTTAGTGTACTTTTTCAATTCACGTGTCGGGTCAGCACGGCAGTGAAACGCGTCGTGGTTAAATCAAGGTAGTAAGGTGTTAGGAGCAAAGCCGATGTTTACTCCNCCGTTGAATTTTGGTCGTTTTAGTATCACGCTCGCTTAAAATCAGTTAAAATGATTTTCCCTTTCTCGCTTCTCGGTCATTTACTCATGAGTTCGCGGCAGATGTCCTCCTTCGATGACGTCACAACAACATTCGTACCCAGCTCCCACGAACCTCGGTAATGGGACACAAGAGACCTAACTTTAAACAGCCATAGAAACGCGAGGATTTTGTCAATCACGATAATTTTTTCGCAAAAGTAATCAGAAAAATAAGGAGATTTCATTTAGCGAAAAACATTTTTGGAGGTTAGTTGCACTTTAATAGGGCGACCAAGAAGGTTCAAATCTTGCTCAAGAATGTTGTCCTCGAAGCACCGTCAGGGAAAGAGGAGAAAAGGCGAAAAGATCAGCTCGAAACTGTCTGCAGTAAATTTTCCAAAACTTTATCCAAACGAAAACGAAGGGTGTAAAATACTAAAACTTCATGCACTTTCTGTCTCGTTGTTATATACGTACTAAATATTGTGTAGGCGATAAAAAGACCAGCAGGTCCA